GCTTAGCAGCTTCATTTATCAAATGCACGTTCTTCATCATGAAAGAATGTTTTGTACATTTTATAGCAAAATTGATTTTTTTTCACAATGACTGCCTGCCAGCAGATGAAACTTCCAAATAAAACGGACAAAATTGGCCAGATGAGATATGTTGAATGTGCTACCATGCATGCATACAGGAAACACACGACGAACTTTGTATGATGACACTATGGGTCTGCCAAATAGGTGGTATCAAAACATTTGCCATTGGGTGGTAAAAAAAAAAGTTAACATACAGAAACACACGCACACACATGCACGCGCACGCAAATAAACCCCTAACAATATACATCATTAAAAAAGCAGCAGTCAAGCAATACAACACAATTCAAGATGTCCAAGTTGTAGCAATTATATAGTTATCTTAGTCACTTGGCTCACACACATCATCTGCATCATAGGAAGATATTGACTTTGTTTGTTCATTCTGGCATTCTTCCATCCCATGACATCCACAAAACATGGAACAGGACAGTCTGGCAGCTGAACAACTACATCACATGGTTGAGCAGGGTCTAGTTGATGAGCATCCACCTCTTATCATCCTTAGAACATCAAGTGGGGCTGGGGATATATCTGGTAGCAGTGGTTCAGGAACCAACATGTTAGAGGTCTGGTCTCGGTACCATCCATACAATACTGGATCTAATTCGGGTGGATTGGGTTTAAGTAAAGCACGCCAAATTGCAGCTTGGTAGTGAGCTCGATACACATGTAGCTCAAAAGCATGTGTGGTTGGCGGCAATGGCTTTAGCTCTGGAGCTGCAGACAGTTTTGGATTAGCCATCTTGGATGACCATACGTTGTATCTAATAGTGGACATGTCATGCGCATCCCTCAGCCCATAACAAGCAGCATAGAAATGTATGGCTTCTTCCACAACATCGGGAAGCTCTAGCTGCATCAACGACACCAAGGTTGTTTAACTGATGTCCACGGTCTTGGAGTGACTTGTGCCAATCATCAGCAGATTACAACTGAGATCTTTCAGTGCATAGAAATGCAGAAGAAGCACCATAACATCTGTATCATCTGAAACGACATGCATCATTGCGATGCCTTCTAAACCCAAATAGGTAATTTGTTGGGCAATGATTATGTCTGCCTCTTTATGTGTGGTCGTCAGGTCTGTCCTGTGTTGGAGAGCTCCATGATGTATCTCCAACGGAGTTGGATCAGGACCAGTCACAACCAGCTTACAACCCTGGGGAAACATTTCCAGGTTGTCTGTAATATGTATTTGATCGTCAGCTTTATAAACTGAACCTTGTTCTCAGTAACTGTTAATGTTACTTTCTGCGATGGGAGA